TTTTATTTTAGTCTAGAGTTGACAGATGACATGTTCTATAAAGATGGATAGACTCATTTTATGCTTTATTTCATTTGATAGTGGCCTAGCTGGTAGCCTAGCGGAAATAATGAATTTCACCATTAGCCACTGTGCACTGTTGTTGGCTCGGTAGATCCCCCAGGGCTCTGGTGTAGTGACTGCGGCAGTGTCCTCAAACCTCCAGAGACTTGAAACAAAAACATCTCATTTGGACCAAACTGGGACAGTCAGGGCTGCTTAATGGGAGATCATTACAAAATCACCTCTGCATTTTGTTTAACACTTTGGACAATATTTATTCTTGTTTGGAATTATGCTTAACCAGCATTTATGAGCTTTTAACCATGTTACATCGTTCCCTCATCAAAAACAATTGTATTTAGATCCATCCACACTATTATCTGGAACTCATTTAATTCTGACTTTTCCGTCTAAAAACCCCAGTTTCTGTCCTGTATTAGTATGATGTAAATGTGTATATAAATATGTATATTTTAAATGGATGGGTTTCTCAAAATACATGAAACTGATGAACAATAATGGTACTGACGGCTTGAAAACAGGAGTTTGTGACTTTGTGTGAATCATCAGATTTCATTCACTGTTCAAATATATTTGCTTGACCTCATCTCTTGTCTTCCTTTCTGATTTTGACTGTCATCGTTCACATTTTTCATTCAAAGCACTTTGGCTGAATATAAATTGTTAGAATGTGAAGATTTATGTGGGCCAAAATGAATTCTGAAAGTCCGAAAGAGGCTTTATATTTGGAACAATGAAAGCTGCTGTTTATCTACATACTGTATGTCATATGGTGAGGATTTTACATGTTTTGTGTGTATTTTTAGTTCCATCTATTAATCCTCTTAGTAGTAGACTAGTGAACACGAGTTCGGAAAAGCACAGCATTATGACTGCACAATTTTTTTTCACCAATTTTTGTCAAGATCATCAAATATTCAACACTTTTGATAAATGTATTACAGTCATAGATTTGCACATCTAGTGAGGTGTGAAATCACTTGTTCTGCTCAAGCAGTAACAGTCACATTAGTGGTTACTTTAAAGGACACTAATCATGCAAAATCCTTTTTAGTTTTAACAAGTGCTGTCTATAATAATGCGTTGCACGTCAGCGCAAATTAACATTAACACTGTCCTTTTTTATTGCACAATTTAATTTCTGTGACCTACTTTACTTGGAGTTTATTTTTTTGCTGTGGCCATTGTTGGTAAAAAACAGGAACCGGATATTTTGTATCACCCTGTTATGATCCCTTAAAGGGTAGTTGAAGGGGCTTTTTTGATACCAATTATACATGTTATACGTCTGTTGATCGACAGCCTTGAATTGAGTATCAAAATGATAATTCAAGGGACAAAAAATAGAAACAAATTAGCAATTTATTTGTGATTAACTGTGACATTCATGCAATTAATCAGGATAAAAATAATAATTGTTGAACAGCACTAGTTTTAACCAAGTTGCATTATTGTTTCCTCATCACCAACCCTTTTTACCAAGGGCTCTTTTCACAAACTACAAAACAAAAAATCATGAGCAGGTCAAAAGTCAAAATATCAAAACAAAATCTCTCTTTTAAATTTTTGGAGATTTTTTTATTTTATTTTATCTCATTTATCAAATCAAATTTCAAGCACACCTCCAAAGTTTTTCTAAATTCTATATCATGACATGTCAAAATAGATATTCTCAAGATCCTTAAATGAACCCACATTATGCATCACATTTGTTCTTCTAAATAAATGCAGTCCTTTGTCAAAAAACAGCAATGCAATAAAGTCATGAATATGAACACCAGTTATAAAATGTCACATTAAATATCAATAGCATCGCACTTGTCGGATCTTGAGTGAATTGCAGTATCGCCCTGACAAGAAGCAACCACAACAGGCTCTTTAAATACTTTATGTGTCAAAGTAAAAGAGTGTCTGCATATGTGCTATGATTAACAATATGCCATTTCTCAAAATAGCCGTCTCCTATGCCAGAGCTCGAGATGCGTCATTGCTTTTTTAAAGAGGTGAACTGGTGCTTAGTCCTCTTCAGACGCTGAAAATATCCTGGACTATCGCAAACCAAAGCAGAGATCTCATCAGTAAATAATGTATTCACAGGCATGAATTATGGAGCAACACGAATGAGGATGGATTTGTGGTGAACACAGTTGTGTTGTGTGCAGTTATCCCCTGCTGAGCGTAAGAGTTGCTTGTCACGAACTGTTAGGAATTGCTATCATTTCTGACCTAGCAAAGTATTTACAGCGCATGAAAACCCGCACAGGGATGCACAGAAAGTTGATCTGATGTGTGCTTGGTCTGTAGAGATGGTATTGTGAACGGTGAAGGAAGGCTTTCTTGCTATTCTATCTATATGTAAATAATTGTATATGAAGGGAGCATGTGAAAGCCTGACCCTGGCAGGAGCTAGTCAGGGCAGCAGGTGCTATAGTGGGGTAGCCTGGCTCTGCCAGACCCTTGTAGTTCCGCCATGCTCCACCAGAGGCGTTTGGCTGAACCACATGGGTCTGGTATCGACGCCATAGCGAACGCCTTCGCCAGATTATTTTTTAATCGACCAATCAGGATTGCCGGTGTAACGTGGGGTTTGCACTGCCTCCTCAAGCTTCTCTCATGCAGCAGCGAGAGGAATCCAAGATGGCGGACGTAAAGTCCACAAATCTTTTTAAAAGAGTAAATACGATCACGGATGTCACTTTTAATGCAATTTGAGGCGAGATGTTGATGGTTCTATGTTGATATATGTGTGTTTAAGAGTCAAATGTTCCTGTAAAGTTTGTTTGAAGCACTGGTTCAGTGTTCCTGTTTACACACTATGCAGCAGGGTTGCCAGGTTTGGTGGTTCCCGCATATTTTTTTCCAAGAGACTTGTAGGTATTAAATAAACAGAAAGACAATAAACAGAATCATGATAGCCCAAGTTGATTATATAACGTTTTTAGCCAAAAAATCAAAAGTGTTTTTTTTGTGTGGGTATTCTCGTGGATTTTGGGTTGGAAAATCTTGCTGGGATTTGGCAACCTATGGGAGCCGTGTGCTTCGATGTGAGTGGTTGAAAGCAGACTTCATTCAAGATAACGGACAAGTGGTCTATCCAATCACATACAAGGATTTTTTTTACAAGGCCCTGCCTTCTGAAATCCAACCACTATGGCTCAGTACCAGACTCATGTGTGAAGTGCAGCGAACTACATGGGTCTGGCGAGAGTCAGGCTAATAGTGGGGTGGCTGCAGATGTGAAGTGCCAAACTATTGTTGTGTGTTTAGGCACGACACTTCACCCACATTGCCTACAGGGGTCTGGTGTTTGTGAGAGAATGATTGGTGGTGGTTGCCATCTGAAGAGTCATTAAGTGTCCGTAAAACACTTTATTATTTGACTTGGATCGTACGCGCGCTCTGATTGGCTGATTTGCGGTCTGATATTTTCCCATCTCTGGCCGTTACCATGACAATTGGTCCGCAGCGCTTATCAGGTTTGATATCTTTCCTCGGTAAAAAAGAAATAATGAGCAACGACTGGGAGCATTCTCCAGTGAATTCTATTATCAGGACGAGTTCAAAGAGCCAGAGGAAGTAATAACAGCAAATAACGACGAACAGTCGTTCAACTCCTAACAGTCAAGAAGAGATTGACAACTTCGTTACAGACCAGAAAGGTAAAAACACTATCAGGAAATCCAAGTCGGAAATGAACATACTTCACAAATATCTAAAAAGCATTGGTAAAGACACAGATGAGGTTGAGAACTTACCAGCGGGCGACCTCAATCATCTGATCAGCAACTTCTTCATGTCACGATTTGACAGTTTGGTTGCACTTCCGGGTAATCGATTGATGCCAAAATTTATTCAATACATAATAATACTTAATAATAATATACATGTCTTATAAGCCATGGAAATAACCAAAATGGTCATGTTTGTATATTGCCGTGTGCCTGAAAATGCAAAATAGCCTTTTTTGATTTTTCATTTCCCTTAAAAAATTGAAGATGTTTTGAACGCAAAAGTACACAGACCGTCACAGTAGCTTGCATAGTATTCCACAAAAAATAACAATGGAAAAAACAATAAAGCAAAAAACCTGAAAATAATAATAATAAGAGGAGGAAGAATATTTAGATTTGTCCCATAGAGCGCTCACATTGCTTTGTGCTGTCGCGAGGCTCAAATCACAAATTGTTCAAAAATCTCAAAGACAACAATTATTTAAGATCTCTGCAAACAGAAACATTGAAATTAAGATATGCAAAAATCTGTAAATTATCTCTTGTTTTTAGTTTTTTTTGAAGATTTGTCAATTAATCAAACAATTGTTTCTCTTGTTATTGGGAAGAACACGTATAATTCAAAGTGAGGCATCTAATCTTATTCATAATTTATAAAGGCCAAAACTGTCACAATGTGTTGCGCAACTCAAGTCTGACTGAGAATATTATGAGAATAGAGAAAAACTACTTAATTCAACTTAAGTATTAAGAATTAAGTAGTTTCACTCTATTCTCATAATATTCTCATCTTTTGAATGATTGTACTATAGGTTAGGAAGGTGAGGGAGTTGTGTAATAAATATCAGTATCAATTATGTAGCCAAAATTGTGCTGTCCTATCTTTGGCCTTCTATAGCTAAAGCATAGTTTATTAAAAGTCATATCTATTGTAAGTATAAATAAAGTTGTGTTAATTCAATTGGTTGTTCACAATTTATGATAACTTTTTCATGAGCTGAAAACAGTCTCTTTATGGAGGGATGTTCTTTGGAGGATTGAAGGCGACTAATGTACCGTTCAAAGATGGTTTGCGATTTGAAATACACTAGATCTCAGTCATCAGGAGTTCATCTGACCCATGGTGTTCACTTCCGCTCCTTTCTTGATCTGTTGCTGTTGACTGTCACTCGCCTTAGTTAAATCATGGTCCTGGTTGTTATGACGATGCAGACACATTCTATGTTGGGTCCAAAGCTTCAGGTGCCGCTGTGTCGTCCAGAATCTGAGGGACTGTGGTTAGGACTAGAGAGCCTTATGGAATAAATTCTTGGGTTTCATTAAATTGGCCAGTAGGGGGCGAATGAGCAGAGGTGGGACAACTCAGTTTTGCTCCCATTGAAAACCAGGTAAGTCGTGTCTGTTTTGGAGTCATCCTGTGCGGTGTACGGTTGTTGTAACAGTCTTAATCGGGAGGGGTACACTCAATTCTAAGGGAGTACTAAAAAATATTTCTGCGTTTCAGTCGGGTGGCCTGCAGGGGGCGCTTATCTGGGAAAGCCTTGATCCACCTCGTCCGCCTCATTTGAGTGATTTTTTCAAAGTGTACTCCTTTATATGAGAGCACAGTTGGAACACAGAAGAAAATCTTGTCTTTCTCTCTATTTGCGCGGTTGCTACAAGCGTGTTATTCGCGCCACTGTCCTGACGTCCAATGAAACCCAAGAATTTATTTTGGTTATTTTGTTAATTTGACCAATTATAATACAACCCATGCAAGGGGCAGAAGCAATTTGCCTCTGGAAGTCCATTTTGAGATCACATATTGTTAATTTAAACACACACGCACACAAACACACACACACACACACCACACAAAAAACTGCGGCTGCTGTCAAAATTCAAGGTCCATCCATTTTCTACCCCTTTGTGTCTGTGTGGGGGGGGGGGGGGGGGGGGGGGGGGGGCCTAACCCTAACCCTCACTGATCATCCTGCAGCTGCTGAGTTTTTGGCCCAAGGACACAACAACAGCAGACATCAGTGAGAGTCAGAGGAGAAGGTCTCGGGCTCAAACTCACAACCTCATAGTATAGCCTAATATAAAACTGTTCATGCTTATGAAAGCTATATAGTTGAGAATTCTTGATATAAAGTCAGACGCACTCTGTTTCTACATATCTATATACCATGTCAGTCCAATAATTGTTGTGATATTTGACACAGTTATTACAGCCTTGTGTTCATGTGATGTGTTTTGTGTCCTGTAATTGCCCTCCAGCTTCAAGAGACTCAGATGGAGATCGATAACACTTCTATCTCTGAGTGTCACGCGTTAATGGGGCACAGAGAGAACAGTGAAAATGGCCAAAGGCTAAACTTAGATTTGTCAAAGAACATGTTGTTTCTTGCTTCTGTCAGTCTACCCCAGGGCAGCTGTGGCTACCATTGTACAATAAATTTATAGAGTGAATGAATAAATGCCAATATAAATTATGCAATAATTACATTCAAAATGTCTTCTTTGTTATTTCATGTTTTAGAATGTAGAAAATATGTGGCAAAGTTTGATGGAGAATGCGTTTTCTGTTAGTATCTTCCTGTGCTACCAGCAGAGGGAGGGACGGACGGAATTTTTGTTTTGTTTCTTTCCAAAAATTACCAATTGCAAACACAACCATGTGAGGGTTAGGGGTTAGGGTTAGGGTTAGGGTTGTAAAGAATGTCCAAATTGTTTTTTGCGCAATGCTTTTTTCTTTTTTTTTTTTACGCAGAAAACTGAGTGTGATCTCTGGATGTGATGTCATAGTGGACCATTTACATCATACTATTACATGACTGAGATAGGGGCTTATAGATTACAGGGCAGAGTTACATGTTTTTTTTACATATTATTTATGTGTTATTTTGAATTATATTTACAGTTGTTGTAAATAACAAGTCAGCAGAGACCATTGCATAGCCTTGATGTAGTGAGCAGAGCGTGTTGAGCTGACTGGGCCTAATTTAATTCCCGCTGTGCTGATAGCATCACTCAGGGAGAGAGAGGAGGTGGTTAGAGCCTTATCTTCTGATTAACATTGGAGCAAGAACCTGGACACGACCACACAAAGCTTTCATCAATGATCTCTAATCTGGTCCTGAGCTGGTTTCTGTGGCTGCGGGGGCATTTCTTGTCCTGGTGCAGATGGCTCTTCAGATGGTGCTTCCTTGGATGGCTTGCTTACTTGGAATACGATTGTATGGTGTTGGGTTAATGGGTCCATGGACATGTGAGATTCTCTTAATTAACTGTAAATCACCAAAATTAATAGGAAGCTGCTTTAAAAATGACCAGATTGATTGCTACATATCAATGTATCCTATGTCTGAGTAATAGGTTCCAGTGCTGTTTCATGTCTGACTGGTTTGATACATGAGTATCAGAGTTTAACATATGTTGTTCTGTCATTGTAGGTACCTGGGGATCACGCGCCCTCTCACGTATCCAGCGCGGCAGAACGGGCAACTCATGGCCAAGATGATTGTGGGCGTATGGCTGGTGTCTGCCTCCATCACACTGCCCCCATTCTGTGGCTGGGCGAAGAACGTCCACACTGCCGGAGTGTGCCTCATCAGCCAGGACTTTGGATACACCATCTACAGCACAGCAGTTGCCTTCTATATCCCCATGCTGGTAATGCTGGTCATGTACTACAAGATCTTCAGGGCGGCCCGTAAGAGCGGGGCAAAGCACCGCTTCACTGACCTGTCCCGGCGCGAGCGCCTGGAAACAGTGACTAATGAGGCGCTGCGGATGCAGGGCCTGAAGCCCCCCGGGGTGGCCGAGGACTGCGCTGCTCTGTCCCGCCTCTTGACCCGTGAGCGCAAAAACATCTCCATCTTTAAGCGTGAGCAGAAGGCCGCCACTACTCTGGGGGTGATCGTGGGGGTGTTCGCCGTGTGCTGGCTCCCCTTCTTCATCCTGTCCACAGCGCGGCCCTTCATCTGTGGGGTGGAGTGCAGCTGCGTGCCCATCTGGCTGGAGCGCACGCTGCTCTGGTTGGGCTACGCGAACTCCCTCATGAACCCTTTCATCTACGCATTCTTCAACCGAGACCTGCGCTCCACGTACCGTGACCTGCTGCGCTGTCGCTACCGCAACATCAACCGCCGCCTGTCTGCTGTGGGCGTGCACGAGGCGCTCAAGGTTTAAGCGAGGTCCGTGCTTTAACCGAGTCTCTGACATAAAAGTTGATTCAAATTAAAAATATTTTATCATTTGGTCACTGGTGCCTCTGCAGCGCCCCCTGGAGTTGAAAGCTTGCCGTAGATTCTTGACTTCTGCACTGGCCATCGTGTGTGTTCTTGTCAAGATGGAGGAAGAGCACAAAGAGCACAACTTTGTGTGAATCCACACTTTGATCTTGATTTGGCAGCAGTATTAGCTGTAAGATATAATGACAAAGGAAATCACATACAAACACAATCAATCATCAAAGCTCTCCAGAGAGCGGCAGAGTGGAAAACCATGTTTGTAAATGACTCAAAATGGATTTCTGTATTGTGGAACATTCATCTGAGTACGCATTTAACATTTATTTGGAGGCAAACACTTGAGATGTCCTTCTGGGGCCATTATTATCTGTCCATTGCTGTTTCAATTTACTTTTGTTCTGACACTTACACAATGTGTAGATGCCAATGTAAAAGGGGGGAAAAGAATCGTAGTGCCAAATAGTGATACGGCGTCAGCATGAGTCATATTTGTAAGTGGAGGCGCTGTAATTATTTATATATCAAAAGAAGAAGAAAAAAAACAATTTGTGAAAAGAAAATTACACTTGAACTCACCACCAAGTGTTTTATCGTGTTCAGTGAGAATTCTTTCACTCAAAGTGTGATTCCACAGTTGGCTTTTTATTTACTTTTTCTCTCACAAGTAACATGTTAACCCCACGGTCTTACAGAAAAGCGTGTGTTGCTGACTCCATTCTTACAATATTATTTGAGCGGTGATGTCCAAGTTTTAATGACGTCAGTGGTTTTACAGAGTGTACTTTTCTACCTCAATTTTGGAGACTTCTTTACAAATTCTCTGAAAAGAATAGCATCTGTAATACGTTGTTAAAGTAATGTACCATGCAGAGAAGTAGGGGTACTAGTAAAATTAGTGTAAGAACTAGTAAAATTAGAAGTATGTAAGAAATATTTTTTTCTAAGCTTGCTGCCAATTCTGAACGGTGTGCTGTTATTTCCCCCAATAAGGCTGTTTTCAAATCAGGTATATAATCATTTCTATTGCCATGCATAGTGCTCCAACAGTTTTGAATTGAATGTGTGTTGAATCACATCAAAAAGCTATATTAGTCCTGTTGCCTTGTTGGTGCCTCCAGATGCTAACTGGGAGGAACGGCACATTCACCACTTTGTAAATAAATTGAATTTATTTAAACATTTCTTCTTATGACTGTTGTTCATGTGGAAAGGGAGCAAAATAAACTGTATTTTCCTACAACTTCGCCAACAAGACATCTCTATCTTTGCTCACATAATGCATCAAGCACACTGACAACATCAATACTGTTGTACTGCAAGGCTTATTTTTGCCTTGTAGCGTTGGAGCCTTTGAGAAAAGTCTTAGTGTGATTTCAGTGGAAAATGTTAGCAGTAGTGACAGCCAACACGAAAAGTCCATGGTTTATTTAATCTAATGGTTATCCAAAGTGGGGACCTGGGTTAAAATCCCAGTCGGAACAGGTCTTTATGAGTGGAGTTTACATGTTCTCCCTGTGTCTTCATAGGTTCTCTCCAGGTGCTTCTTGTTGCCATATCTCTGCTATAGCTCCCCTATAGCGGCATTACACGATGGGTTAAATGCAGAGGACAAATTTCTCCAGGAATCATAAAGTGCACCTTAACCTAACCTAGAAAGATATGGTAGTTTCATGTCTGCAAAGGCCAATATTAGATGAGGTTATTTATTATCAAGCAAGAATAGGATTTCACCAAGAAAATCTGACAACAATGCAAGAATAGGGTGTAGAACCTCTAGTGATGGCGGCCTTTCTGTGTAGTTTGCATGTTTTTCCCTGTGTGTGTGCGCTCCGGTTTCTCCCCTCCCCACTCAAAACATGCATCATTGGTAAAATCCTCTAGCTCTGGAAGTCCTGACCAAGACGTGCATCAACATCTGTAGATGGGTCCACATGCACTGCACCGCGTTGATGACTTCACCTCACAGAGGGCCTAGAAACATGAAGGATGGGTCAAATGCAAATATTTGTAACATACATTCCTGCCAATCCTTAATCGTCCACTTCAATACCAAAGTATACATCAACTTCGAAAGGGATTTTAAAATGTCTCCGCCGTGACGAAATACTTTCAACTTTGGTGCCTCTGTCCAGCTGCTCACATGTATTATACATCAGTTGCGTGCTTTGACATTGATTACACTTGGCCAAATCGCTCACAGTTCAGTGAGCTGTGCACTTACTATTAACTCATATTCTCATGTTTTAGCCTTTTGCCAAGGACTATTTTGAGCACAATCTAAAGTTAGACACTGACTTTTATACATTGACCCAACCCCAATAATAAAAACAGCAGGAATGTAACGTTTGCCAGCATGTTGACATTTGGATTTTGCACAGAAAAAAAAAAAACATCCTTGAAGAAGTCCAGTGTCCCTTGGGCCATGTCAACAGGCGTTACTTCTGGGGAATGAGCAGCAGTGCATTGGAAACTGTGCCATTCCTGCTTCAACCAATGGGAGGAGAAAGGCAAATGTTTATTTATGATGTAATTTATTCATCATAAGGAAAACTAGAGTAGATTTTTCCCAAATGCTGCCCACAAGCCAAACTGGCAGCAGTGACAGTTGTGGGGGCTAAAACATGTGCTTCTCTTTAAAAGCTTTACCATTCCAGTAATTAACGCAGCAATCTAAAGAGATCTAAAAGCATGTCAGAAAGAACATAGCCTGTTTGGACACAGGCCCACTCAAGCCATACGAGAGTGATGAAGGGCAATAATTGGCTTCAATATTGATCTTTCAGTGGGGGCTTCAGGCAAAAAATAACAATTGTAAACCGCTTTGTGACTCTGGTCTGTGAAAGGCAGTGTATAAATAAAGATTACTTACTTTCTTACTTACTTAAAGTGGGGTTGTATAGAGAGGGGTTGTATTTCTTTTTCATTGCATAATACGAATGTGGCCCTTGAATAGCGGGGGTCCACATATCACCACAAATTTTGCTATATAAATAAAGATTACTTACTCACTACAATTAATCTTTAAAAATGCAATTTAAATGTACTTCAAGCCTCTTTCCACATTTACCAAACATAAACACTGTTAAACACCTGAAGCATGGTTGCTACTGGAATATGAACTTCTTCAAGCCAATAACAGCAGCAACTTAACTGTTTGATTGACTAACAGATTATTCACAATCTTTAACTAACTGATCTGTGATCAATACATACTGTAGCAATGTTCAGTTGCTAAATAGATTAATAAAATCACAAAACTAAAAATACTTTTTGTCAAAGACTGACAGACAACTGCACATGGTCATTTTACCAAATATTGGAACAGCCTCAATCATAATTCAAACTGGAATAGTTTTATTTTTAAAATGGCACTTTTTGTATGTACCATTCATTGTTTGTGTTTGTAAAATATATGTTACCAAAAAATAATAGTAGCATACGTTTTTAAAAGAAGGATTCAAGAAACCGTGTGTCCCTTCCTTGGTATTGATTTGACTGCTTGTAAGATGTCTTTTTTTACCCTCCTGGTGTAGTATCAAGCTGTTGACTCACTGCAGCCTTGTATTTTCACACATGTCCATTGCTTCGATGCCAAAACTCTGAGCTGCCCACACAGTCATCGCACATGGAATAAGCCTCTCTCGTTTCCGTCCAAAATCTTTGATTAATTTCCCTCATAAGGGTGCATGCGTAGATATCCAAAACTTCCACACGGTGCTCTCAAAACAATCCAATCAGCTATTTTTATTAGTCTCAAAAATAGTTTTAACGCTATCCTACATGCGACTACAGCTCCAAAGTAGAACAAGTTTCTAAGATGATTTCAATCCAAAAGACATTTTCAGTTGTGCTGAAAATGACTGCTGGCTCTAATGTATTCTCTCTGACTTTTTATAGTCCTGCCTAAAGTGAAGAGCCACATCTGAAACCAGCCTGACCTGGTTTACTTGTGATTTTTTTACCTGACATTTTCACTCCATGCCTGGGTCATTACAATATACTTTACTGACAGCTCTGTTGTTAAAAACCTATGAAAAAAACCAATAGATTTATGTTCAGTATTTTCTACCAAAAACATTAAAGACCCTGACCGACTCTGCAATATTTATTTTTGAATGTCACGGTGGAGATTCAATCACAGTAATACATTTAATTAATTTAGCATAATCAGATCAATGCTTTCCAAAAAAGCTGAACCTTGCTTGGCTTCTTTTTTCGCTTGTTTGGTTGTGCTATTCTCGGGTCAAAGAGACCTGTCACAGGAATTTAATTTATTCTCAAGATGAATTTTGACGGTTTCCAAACTCAACCAGCCCTAAGTCATTTAGACCCTTTTAGACCAATTCTAGGAATTTTTCATTTACTTTTAATTATCTGTGGTGGGTCATTTTGATCCGAGGATTGCACAGGGGTGCAACTATCACAACACCTTTTGTCACCTACACAGGTCCTGGCTCTCACAAACGGGGGTTTGTCTGTGAGTTAGGTCCAGCTTGTCCCTGAAAATCCGCGGTTGGAGCGTGTTAAAGGCACTGGAGAAATCGAACGACAGGATCCTCACAGTGGAGTCGGGCGATGGAGGAGAGAGACGCTGGCGTTCTCCACTTCAATGCCATGGCAGTAGGTAAACTTTAGCAGGTCCATTGCTGAGTGGTGCGGAGTTGTCCAAGGACCTGTTGTCACTTCAGTCTTCCAGAGCTGAGGTACTGACCTCAGCCTGAGGCTCAGGTTGGAGACATGCTCCATCTCTCAACAGAGATTGTCTGCGTGCAGGAGCGAGGGGGGCTCAAGCTTTTGTGGTCTGATCTAGGTACCTACTTTTTCCATTTCTAACGGAGCATTTTAAAAGACGCATGCTTTTAAATACGTATTTCTGTGCATTCTATATGGACATAACAAGAACATTGGATGAACCAGCTGCATTGTTGTAAGTGTTAG